CCGCTGCCATAAAGTCGCTCGTAGCGTACAGCGTTAATGTGGAAAATCTGTACCGTGGACGTAGTAATTTTCCGAAGGAAGACGCAAGGTCTTAGTTGGGCTAGCCAAGTTATCGAACCACAACCTCTCTTCGAGCGTGTTGCTATTCGGTCGAGATATATTCTTGTCTAGACATGAATTCTTTCTATCTTGGTCGGAGGATTATGAAGTCGATCCCTACTCTGAAAGTTTTCGATTTGCTAGAGGCTTCTTTTTAGGGTGAAGCACTTAGGACAGGCTACCTGAATTATTCATTTACTCTTGTCTGTCGCCAAGAATGCTCCGAACAAATCTTGCTTGGTTTCGAGGGATGCATAATCCGATGTCAGTGGTTCTTTTCCAGACGAAGGGAGGAAAGATTCTGGACTTCAGGATTAAAGTTTTGTTCGAAATATGGAAAGCTGAAACAGTATTCTCTACTCTCCCATACCGAGAATCGACGCTTCGAATCTTGGAACATTACTCGAGGCACCACGACAACAGTTTCTTCCCTCGTGACGAATAGCGTCTCTTCCTTCGTTCTTCATGGTGACTGCAGGCCAGTCCGCGTGACTTTTTCCCCCAATTAAAGCGCTGGAACTCGCTGGGGCTCGACGCAAAGCACGAGAAACCCGCGTGTGTTTTTGCAACGGTTGTTCTCTGCAATAGCGCAGCAAGCGCGATTGCTCGAGTATAGCTCGTAACCGTCGACCCGCTCAACTACACCGTCGTAACTCGAGCAGAGTCACCGTCCATGTCAAACGGTACTCGAACGACGGCGACACCAATTACCAGAAGTCGGCGTAAAAGAAAGGACTTGGAGGAACACCCGACGAATCCAAGCTTTTTCTCACCTGGTTGAAAACGAATGGGCGCGCAATTTGTCGCGGACGACCGCCCGGCCATAAGTCATCGAAAATTGTCATTGCAATTTATCACGACGGCCCGCGAGAGTAATTTTATTTCCGTTTGCCCGCGGAGCTTCCGACGAGATTCGTCGTTATTTTCCATTAAGCGCGATTTACCCGATGATAAGGAACGCTAACCACGTTCAATCATTCTGGCAATTATGGCCCTACCCCCTCTTTCAGCGTTGAGCCGCGACGGAGTTTTACTTAAGGTCGGATTTTCTGCTGTTGCTGTTCGAACGATTGTGAAGGAAGTCTGTGCGAAAATTGTACTTTAGACAAGAAGTTGACGACGTTGAATCATTTGTACAAGAACAGAAATCTCTTAACCCTTAGTGTAGGCAATTGTGTATTAGCGAATCAGTTGCTCTGTACGTTTAATTGAATCTGCTCACCGTCGGGCTGCAACAACTGCGAGTTGTACCTACGTCTGGACGTCGAGTTCTAACGAATCCGTCCCACGCATATCCGATAAGAAACCTCGTTTCTACGTTTTTCAACGTCGACGAAATACGCTCGGAGTTTCCGCTCGTGTGTTCGTGCGCGTGCAACGACTCGCTCGCTATTCAGATATTCAAGCTCGGGCGTATCGCAAACACTAGCCATTTGAATAAACGAATATCCACTCGTGCCGCGATAGCGTTGGCAGAGAGATTTCCTGTGCCTTACGGCGTGTTCGCGGTTCCTCGAAAACGTTTCGAAACAATTCCACGAGATCAGCGTCGCTCTTCGAACCGAGCAATAATAATTCAACGACTATCGTTTCCGGGATTCGCGATCGCTTGGTATCGAGAGGACAGCGTCCATCGATTACGCTCTTGCGTCGAGCTTCGTCCTCGCTCATCTATATACGATTCCGTTCCATAAAGCCAAAGAATATTTGTTCCGGTTATGGCTCGACTTTATAAGCTACCGCGCTTAGACACAGCCCATAACGTTACATAGCTATCGTGTGTCCATAAATATTGATGAGCTTCTAAAGTAAAGTTTGCCACTACACGACCACCCGAGATAAATGGAAATATTGTAGGTAAATTATACGTGCCTCGAGGAAAGTCCACGCTCTTTACCGCGACCTCGATTCCCTGAAACGTGATCCAGAGGATCGCGCTTCGCGAATCAACAGATTTCTTCTCTTCTTCCTCGACCCATGGATATTCTCTGCGACTTTTCCTTATATTTTATCAATCTTTCACTTTTGTTGTCCACATACATTTTAATAGCCGAATAGAGGTCTTTTCTCGTAGCGTTTTTCGTCGAGGTTCGCCATAGATACCGTTGCATCGCGTAAAATAAAATCGCAGACCTACCCAAAACCCAGACCTACAAGATTAATTTGCCTTGTTTAGACCAAGGATTCGACGAGGATAGTTTGGACGTGGGCAATCTCGAGCGGCGCAATATATTACCGACGCGTTGCTGAAAAGTCGATGAGCGAACGAAGAGCATGCTGGCGCAAGAGTTCGCGGAAAGCCAAAGAGCGGTCCCCAGAGTGCACGGAAAAGCTCGTTATAAGCTCTTGGAGCTTAGTTGCTGCTCCAGAATTAATTAAAGCGCGCGCGCGCGCGGTAAAGCGCATAAAATACCTCGAAATGTCCCCTTGCTAGGCCCGCGACGGATTTATTATATTGCTATTCTCCTGATCGCTACGTACGTTTAAATAAGAGCCTCGCTAGCGGAAACAGAAAGAGATGGAGAAGCAGAGCCAATTAACGGTGCAAAGTTTTTCCTCTTAATAATCCCAGTTTCCTTGTACAGGTTTCCCGAATTCGTACGGATGCAAATTAAGAGCGAAATTAACGTCTACGTCGTGGATCTAACGAACGAAGGACATTTGATTGTTGTATACCGTAACAAGTGTTATATTTGCTATTCGTTTTGTTCCGAACGACCATGGAACGCAAGCTTTTCTACATTTTCGATTCCTCGTCGCCATTATAAAAACATGCAAATGAAAGTAGTTGTCCACAATTCCATTTCGGGAAGTAATTCTATTAATATGTTTTCTTTGTTTCATTTTTCCTGAATTTTTCATTGTTCATTGTCGCAGTTCCACCTCAATGTTTTACGCGCTCTTTGTCCATCGTACAGCGAAATGAAAAATGTAAAAGTTAATACGAATAAGCGTTCGCGTTCAATTTATCGTACTTTTATCATATTGCACATCATTTTGCACAAGTTTGGAGCACGGTGTACAAAGCGGTACGTTGTATTAGTAATAAATAAATAAAGAAGGTGTTCGCTTCGCTCGAGAGCGAAGCAGTTTTCGGGGCTCGTTCTCCTGGCGCGCGACGCGATCGAGAAAGCAAGTTAGAGAAATTACCATAGCTGGAACATCGAGTCAAGGGTCGCGTTCATGTATATTTATGACTCACGCGACTGCATACGCGTTTCAAGCCACCGAGGCGTGTATCAGACTTTCTTTCCCTCGTGATGGATTAGGAGAAAAACAACTGAGGACGATACAGGCCCTCAGGACTCTCGAGGGTTTTCTCCGACGCTCTCAACCGAGCCATTCTCTACCTAATTCACTCTTAAGCCGAAGTGTAATGAGCTCTGATCTAATCTAATTCCATCCAATCTCCTTCCGGCTATGGCTACATCCTGCGGCTATTATGGTTCCCCGAGTGGTGAGCTATAGGCAACCCTGTACGCGCTTTCCTATTCAGAACGCCTCCCATTCTTCCCTCCAGTGCTCTCCTAACAACTTATTTAACTAGATACGCTCAAGGGCCCTTCTTCCTCTCGCTATGTTGTGTCTCGTTAAAGAATCCTTCCTTCTCTCTGCGCTTCAGCTTCGCCGAAGTGCAACGATGCGACGCTACGCCCCGGAGACGTCAAAGAGAAACGCTTTTATGGACACTTCGCGTGTAATTGGGTATTCAGGTGACACGATAAATTGGTTTGCCACTTAACAGGGGTCCCTGGGATTACCTTTCTTTCAACAGCTCCTCCCGTTTCGTCGTTCTTTTTGAACAGATAATGTACGCGTTAACGTAACCCTCAAATTTGATCATTTATTTATTATTTATTCATTGTAAATCGGAGTTGTACCTTGCATTGGAAATTGTTTTTCGATGCGTCTCGTTCTCTCTAAGCAGTAAAACGCGCGTGCAATTGGAAGAAAGAATGACCAGCAGATGATGGGATGAGTCGGTAAAAGAAGATGGCGGGGGAGAACAAATGGAGCAAGGCAGATCGGGGGTGCGATAAGTCGAGCGAAAGGGAAAGTACGAGGGAAATTAACGGACAGATAGGTACATCGAAATCGATAGACTCGATGTCGTGAACGGATGGTAATGTACCGCTGTTCTCGCGATAAAATATTATCGCAAGTGCTGGTTGAAATTAATACAATAGGTGTAAAGGACTTGTCTCGTTTTGTTGTAATTATTACCGAATATTGGTATTGTACGAGTACTAGTACAGCTAGATCATTTTATTCATTATAGTGTCATTTTATACTAAATCGATTTGAGACGTTCGTGGAAGTATCGATACGCGACGATTAAAATTATTTCGTGGTTGATTGACCGGTAGTATTCTTCGTTAGGGTTGCAAACACAGCTAATCGCGAATCTATTCCGGTGATGTATAACGATGTGGTGCTAAAGGAAGTTCGATAACAACGAGCTATTGTCTCGTGGCACTACGGAATAATATATCGGAAAAATACAAACGAAATGTATCGAGTTCATATCGAAGGCTCGAGACACTTCGAATCGCTTTGAATGTATCAAACTTGGAACACGACAAACGGAACGTTCCCCAACTTTGTAGTCATTGAAGCTGTGACACAAATAAGGATTCGATATATGCAAGGTCGCCGCGAGGCTCCGACTGTCCTGGATTCCACCGAGCATCGGTATTTATACCTAGGTGGAACAAAGTCAAAGCGACTCGGATGTTTACGAAAAGTGGAAGGACACGTTGTGTATTTACGCCCACAATGGGACACAGCGTCCGTGGAATCGATACCCTGTTCACAGTGGGTGCTTTTATTTGTCGACGATGGAGAAAACATGGTTTAGTCGAAATCCATCTTAACCGAACCTTCCTTCTTCTCTGTTGCAGATACTCTCAGCTTAGGCGATCGCACGATAGATAACATGGATCGACACTCGAGTCAGAACAGACCACGAAATCAGCTGCTGGTGGATTCTGCGGTGAAGTCGAATGCCGAGCCTACGTTCGACTCCTCGCAGAACACCAACGTCACAGCCCTGATAGGGAAGACCGCTTATCTCACGTGTCGGGTCCGCAATCTCGGCGACAAAACCGTAAGATTATTACGTTACGTATCGTCGATCGAACGCCACACGAATTTGTAGCTTTCCGGTAAACGTGAGACACTGTTTCTGACAGTTCTAAATGATACGGGGGTACTACTATGCGCAAAACTATGCCAAATGAATCAAAACTTATAATAAGATCGAAGGGTTAAAGATTGATTCTATTCCAAGTTAATAGAAAGTATACTTACTTTAGTATACTTTTCGGTGTATCTTTTCCTCAAGTTCTGTTCGCTCGCCAACGTCACAGCTCCGATCGAGAAGAACTTTTATCCTGTTTGACGAGACCTTAAGATTATGTGTCACGTATCGTTCATCGAACTCAGAACGAATTTGTAGCTTTTCATCGCGAGGAGTTTCCCTCCCAATCTTTTTACCCCCGTTTGCGAGCTATTCGAGCAAACTCGACGACGGCGTGTATCGCGAAAAATTGCTGGTGACAGGTGAATGTTTCAGAAAAATGCTCCCGCGATTTCTCCACGTTATTGTACGGGGTTTCGACAAATTTGTGGCGGTAAGATAATTACGTCGAAGGGGGCGGTATACTTTTGCCAAGAGAGGAAACCCAGTCTCCGTAAAGACCTTAGGAAAAGCGATTTACAGAAAATAATCGAGTTACCCGGGCTCGATTGGACGTTAATCGACCTTCAAGGCAACTGGAAACTCAATTTTATCGCAGCTCGTGGAACCACCGTTACAAGTATCGGTCGATCGAGAGTAATCGGCCAAGCCGAGTACTGGTGCTACTCAAATTATGACTTTGCGATCACAGCCTCGGATTATTGCGTCACTAATACGCGGTAATTCGCTCGAAGAATTCTCGGAGGTTCCAAAATATTCAATTGTTTCCGAAAGCATACGCCATCCAGAACGTTTCTATCGAATTATTCCCGCTATTCCATCGAAACGCGAACCTACGGATCGATATTCAGAAAAATAGGTGAAACTTTACCTTCGAGAGGACCTGCGACTACTTTTCTTATTGGGACGCCTCGGAGCTGGAACTTCTTCTGAAGTTCGTAATTACAGGATAGAGAGCGGAGAAGACATTGTCGTTGCGCGGTAATCGTCCGGAGATTGGAATTTCTCGTAACTGTGGTTAAAATGCCGGGAAAACCTCGAAATGAAGTTGACCTCGATTACACGCTGGTCCGTTATTGGCGGTACAACCGAGAATGGGGGTGATTCTTCATCGACGAGGAAGTCGAAAAGTAGAGCACAGTTTTCATAACTTTATTCCCGTATTATCGAAGCGTATCGGAGACAAAAACGTATTCTTTGAAAGGGATACCCTGCTTTCGAGTTGTGCCAGGGATAAAGAACCCACCCAGTTCATCGACTTTTTTCGATCGTGGCACTCTTTCCTCATTAAATATTCCGGCAGCCTCCCAGCCGAGTTCCGCGGTTGCGAAAAGCTCGCAGGTAAACAGGATTACAGCTAAAGAAGGAGCGCGACAGAGATCACGGCGAAAATGCACGGGATCGCACCGACTGTAGACACGGGCGTAGAACGTGGAAACGAGGCCGTTCAATTTCGGCATTTCGGAGTGTGTAAACCGTATTAAGTAAATTCATTATACAGTCGGGGGCAGACGTGCCCTTAATTTCATTCGTTGTCCCGCGTCAGCCGTGGAATTCCATTTGCTCGACGTCCGAATTGCCAGGTCACATGGATTTCCTCGATACGTGATTCTCGCCACTTTGCATCGTACCACGACACTTTCGGCGTTTCATTTTCCTACGAACGGAATTATTGACACTAGTTGCGAACGTGTTCCGCGAACTCGACGAGAGATCTGCTTAAATATACTTGACGAGCCATTTAAAAAGTCGCCAGGATTATACTTGAGCATGGGAGATTCATTTCGTGAGGAATAGAACATTTTATTAAAATATATTGAACATTAATAAGTACAAATTAACGTTTATACGCCTGTAGATCCTTCGATTTGGAACGCTGCGCTCAAACGTAGTAGTATTGGATGATTATAGCCAGCGCTGCGAAGTTTCGCGCAAAAAGAAAAGGACGTTGGCGAGTTCGCGCGGCAGACAATGCGCGATGGTCTATTTGCAGTTACGCTTGTACCAGTTTTGCTTAACGTTCGGTATTCATCATTTTGGACGTCTTCCGTAGTTTCATTCCATCCCTCGTGTCTCGGAGCCTCGCCGTCTCGATGGGCAAGTTCGAGAGCGTTAAACTACTCCGTATTCCCGTCGCAGCGGTAGAAGCAACGGCTGGCCAGACGTTACGAGACGTAAACTTGGAAGAGTAAATACGCTAAGTGGTGCCAACACGGCGTGCGCACACATACACAACTACGAAGTAATCGGTAGACAGCTGCCTTTTCCGGTTTCCATCGAGGGATGAATTATGGCGGATGCATCGGCGAGCGACCGTAAAGGCCTCGTAAGCTCGCTAGGGCGTGCTCCGCGCGACTGGCATGCGTCATTTGCAAACTTCCGCCATCGGTTATTAATGCAAACTCGTTCGTTTGGCTCTCTGGTACGCGTCAAGTCCGTAAAAGAACGAAAGACGGCCTCTGGAATTGGTCATTTTTGATTGCCGAGGGGAAGCGTTTAATTTAGAATATTGGAAAGGTGTACCACTTTGAGAATTTTTTTTCAAACACTATCGACGATACCTTTCGCAAACTTTGTATAGATACCGATACAGATTAAAATAATCCTTTCCTGACTTCTTGAACACGCGTTAAAAAATTTGTCTTTTCCATCGAGTTTTATAAGGGCCATTTTCGAACATTGTTCTCTCATTGTTTACGCGTTTGCCCATATCGCCCAGTGTTACGAGCCAAGTTTCTCTGCAGAGATCGGCCTTTCAGCAACTGACAAAGTCATATTAAAAAAAGGAGCCCCGGCAGGGTCAAAGACGTTCAAAGTTAATACAAAACTTCAACACCCGCGCCATGGGAGAGAGTTTGAACTTCGTTCCACGAACGAATAAAAAGTTAGATGCCTCTTTGTCGTGATTTCTAAGCGGCCGCCTCCTGGCCCTGTTCAGAGCCTAATTAAAAGTGCTTCGCCTCGCGAGCCAAGATGCGAGAGTGGTTCGTAAACGGAAGATCCGGAGGAGTCTTTATTTGATGTCCGATTAAACGCGAATAACGACGTTGCACATCTCGCGCTGCATGCCTCGAACAATTTAGATTATGGAACTGAACGAACCAATCATCCGACTTAAACCTTCTTTCATCGGCGCCGCTAATGGCTCTCCCACGGAAAAGTCAATTTCCCGCACCAATAGGCAACGAAATGATTTCTTCGCCGCGGAGCTCTGACGTCTGCGGAGGACTTTGCGGATACCACGATGAAACAGAAAAATATATAGACGTTTGGATTGGTGATTCTTCGGTTATTTCTTTCAATGAATTTTCTCCTTCTTTCGAAGCGATACAACGAAAGAGAATACTCGCCTAAAGTGGAAATATTGAGAATTGAAATTCACGATTCATATATATCTGCAAACAGAACCGATATCGCGAGAGGAATATACAAAACCCGTTCAAAATACGTGACATGTTTATTCATCTGTCGTTCGTGTAAAATATGTAAAGCATACGCAACGTGAAAAATGCGCGTTTTCCCACAGTCCAGATATTATTTCTGACAAAACGAGAACGAATTCGAGCCAAACCGAATTTGTCGGATTCCTGAAACGTTCCTGTGTATCCTCCGTGGATCCTGGAAGATTGCACTGGTACTTATCAGCACGGCGGTTGGTGTGAAAACTCCTCTCCTCCCCCTGACGATGGGATCTCGAATGATCTTGGGGGAATGTTCAACGGTTCGTTCCTCGACTTTATCCAGCAACGAACCCCACGGACCCAAGCTTTCGACTCGCCATAAACGGAGAAATAGACGAATCCTGCGGTGTTTCCGTTTCGGTATCCGGGGTAAACTCGCTGTCGCTGGGAAGGCAGCTAGTTTCCCAACGCAGACTTCCCAAGTAGTTTACTAGATTACTTTCCTGTTGCTGGTAAAAGCCCCAGAATCGTGTGCACGTATACACACGCGCTGATGAAATTACCGTCGTCCCCGTAGACGTCGAAGTTCACCAGGGCCGAAGTTTAAATGTCTCCTTCGTCGAAACGAATTATGTATTACACGGACGGGCGTAGGAGGCCTCTGCGGATGACGGAAGCTCGCTCGTGCCGGAACTTCTGACCTCGCACCTCACCTCTGAGAAATATTTAACGCTGAGAAACGACACGATGGTTCTGCGCTATTGATTCGGTGTCGACGACCATTCGTCCTCCGAGAACTGTTCTGCTCGCAGACTCTCGGAAGTTGGTCCAAAATTAATATTAACCCGACAGGTCGTCTGTTTTGAAACTTGAACTCGGTCGGTTGGTCGTGCTGCGCCCTGTGATGCATTCTCGTGATTTATCAATTATTCCTACAGTTTCACTGCACGTAGCCGACGAACTTTATTATTTATGAAATGAACAGAATTGGTTCCGTGTCATTTTTAAAAAGGAATTCAAGGTGGTATTGCCTCGCCACAGAAGAGGCCGATACACGATAAAATAAAATGTAAAATTAACTTGCAGTTATTCAAATAAACGTGTGTACAATGGAAACGAGACACGGCGTTGACGTTTAATCGAAAATTGTCAGTGCTGTATAATTTCAATGAACAAATAACAAAAGATCAGGTAAAACGGCGACACAGCGAATGTGAAAGTAAGTTTATGAGCCGGCAATTTTCGATTAAACGTTCATAGCACGTTTCACGTTTTCGCCATTATATATATCGCCACGTTCATTTGCATAATTGTAAATTAATTTTACATTTAGTTCCGTTACACAGACATCTATTTCCACTTATTCTCTATATTCGTTGCGTTAAATAATTTTCGATACTTTTACGATATTAATCAAAAATATTCCGACACCTAGTAAACGATCGATTCGTATGTATTTGTTTTACATTTACATTTGTGGTACTATTTCTTTTGTTTTCGCGTGGTCCTCTTTAGCGAGGCTTTCTCACCTATTGTCTGACGCTTTTTCTCACAGTTTTGCATACATGGTTGCGTGCTTTTTGCGTTGCGTTGTGTTCGACGATAGATTGAAAATACTACATTCCTGTAACAGCCACAACGCGTGCTGAACGATGTTATCAAACAAAATACGTATACCAATGAAAAGAGAGAATTTATTTGATTTCCGAAACGGAAGCTATCTCTGCGTTGCAATCTCTATCGCATTCATTTATCGTTACAAACAGTCACATCTTTTGTGTACGCGAGAGAGAATAGCGACTATGAACGCGAGGTCAAAAAACAGAAACAAACACGCGGAAAGTTCAGAAAGTTTATGAAAAATGACGAGACCCGTTGAAAGTTAAAATGTGGAGAGTATCAAAACTATTCCGTTTTCAAACGGATAGAGTTGAAAGCAAGTATACCGTTTTAAGTTCAAACGCAAACGTATCTCGTTGTCAGCGAATTCACTTAGCGATCAGTCGCGGCTATTGAATGCACTCTGTTCAGCGTCCATCGATAACCATCATTGATTCCACTTTGAAATTCCGTTTGCAAAGGTTTCCTGGGTCAGGCACAGGGACATTCACATTTTAACAGCAGGGGCGTATACCTACACGAGCGACCAACGATTCCAAGCGCTCCACGGACAAAATAAAGGCCAAAATAGCGAGTGGTCTGAATGGACTCTTTGCATAAAGTGGGCGCAGGAGAGAGACCAAGGACTCTACGAATGTCAAATCTCCACTATCCCCGTCAAGTCGCATGAGTTTCGCTTAAATGTCGTCGGTAAGTTCCATTCAACGATTCTCGAGGGACTAGATCAGAGGTCGGCAAGTTGAGAACGATTTTTAATTAAATACAACGCCGTTCCGGGAATCTCGGGAATAAAGAACTTTGGATAGCCATCAAATGCAAGATAAAAATGTTATTTTTAAATGTAACCCTTGGCTTGTAAAGCTTGACATTTTTACTGGGACTTTAAAAGCTTACCGACCTCTGCCTTAGACCCTCGCTAATCCTTCAAAGACTTTTGCTAATTAGGCTTATAAAGACCACGCTTTAATTAAAATCTTTTCGTTTCATTGAACAAAGCGGAACGGTAGACAAAAAATAACCTTTCCAATAATACGAAATCTCTCGCTAGTTAACCCTCCGTTGCATAATTATTGCCGAAAATTGGCTTGGTTGATTTGTCAAGACAGTAAGACAGCGTATCGAATTTATTTTCACCTGTCGTCTAGTTCTAGTGCTACTCTAATTAATTTCTTTAAAGGTAAGGCAATATTCGTGCCACACAGGGTTAATTATGGGAGACTCTTGCTACTCAGATTCGGTGTGTTTCCATTTACACGCGACAAACGTTGTTCACCGAACAGACCGTCTAATCACGCCATGAGTGCGATTGATATCGATATCACTTCCCCCTTGAAGGGATTCGTCGAAGCACGTACCTACGGTTTCCCGATTCTCGATTGCTCTCGAATCATTTTGCGCAACAGCGATCTAGACATATCCAGCGCGACCGCTCGACGACGTATCGACTTGTCCATTAACGACGCCCGAAGAGGGAGCTTCCGTACGTAATTGCAGGGAGCGCGATGTCGTTGATGACGTCCTCATTATTTCAATTACAATGATCTTGAGCCTCGGTAACAAGCTTCGGCTCGTTAATCGCCACGAATCCGTCCAAGCATCCTCCGAGTCTTTTCTCTTCGTCGAGTATCGTTTCTTGGAGTTCGCTCGCGCGTGAACAGCTTTCGCTATACATTGATTTAGAGATCGAGTCGAGAGTGCTGCGAGATGTGAAGTACAACGTGGAGTAATATTCTTGGTTTGTCGGGACGAGAGGAAGTCGCGTGGTCCCCCTCTTTGGAGGCGTATTAAGCTTCTTAGGGAATTAAAAGTAACGTGAAGTAAGTAAAACGTTAACATTAGTGGCTAAGTCGTATATAAAAAATGGTTATGGTGATCCAGAACGAAACGCCATAATACTTTTTTTTACCGCAAACCAAGTATATTGCTTGCTCCTCGCGAAGGTTTCGCCATTGTAAAGCTAAAATGAATGAATTGTTATCAGTCGAAAAGGGTGAAAAAAAGGAATTGGTTCTTGATCGTAGTGCCGACAGCGACGATACTGGGGGGTCCAGATCTGTACGTGGGAGCTGGGAGCACGATAAACTTGACGTGCGCCATACACTTCAGTTCGGAGCCACCAGCGTACATCTTTTGGTACTACAACGAGAACGTCTTGAGCTACGACAGTCCCAGAGGCGGCGTCTCGGTGATAACCGAAAAGGGTGGCGACATCACCACCTCTTGGCTCCTTATCCAGACGGCGCAACCCTCGGACTCCGGGGAGTACAGCTGCAAACCTAGCAATGCCAATACGGCGTCCATCAAAGTCCATGTCCTGAATGGTGAGTGTTTACACGCGCGGCAACGTGACGTTACAGTTGGACGATCGTGACCATTGGATACGGCGTTGTTTCTATAACGGAACGATACGATATTCATTTTCATGGAAATCAATCCAAGCAGATGTATCGCGAGACGTGGACATAGTAGTTGTCGTTGAGTTGAGGTGTATCTTTATTGGGAGCTTCTTTTTGTTAGACGTCATTAGGATTTTAAATTAAACTTGGTAGAAAACTGTGTAGGAATTCAGAATATCGCGAGCAAATGAATATCGAGTCTGGCAAAAATATCTCAAGTATATACATTGTCCAACGTGGAACCAATTAATTAATTCGCATTGATTCAATACAGGAGGAATTCCCCTCCCAACGAGAATAATCCTAGACAGATTTGCCAACAGATGGAAAATCTCTGACCAGTATCGCTGGCACTTGCCCTATCCCAGATTTTGCAAGCGTCCGGGGACCACGCGATCAGCCTATCAGAACTTGGCAATTATGCAGTCTCGAAGTTCTGCCATATTTATTCAGCGACGTTGTCTCGAGCGCCGCGGTGGGAGTCGAGCTTTGCCGCGGTGAATATATTTGTCGTCGTGTTTCGTCGTTCCCCGATACGAACACGTTGGGAAATTAGCCTCGTTAACGCAGTTTCAAACGAAATTCCTGTCGTTTCCGTTATTACGCTCGCGACTGTAACGCGTCCTGGCATTTTTCATCAGCATTCTTCTACGCCAACTTTCGCAATGTCCGACATGGCACGACGCATATTTCCACGGGACAGATAGGGGGACAAGAGTTTCACGGCTTTACCTTTTTTTTTTTTTTTTTTATGTAATAGTTGAAATACTTTGCCAGTCGTGGATCGATGCCTGGTCGGCGTTTCGAATCGTAACTCGACGTTTCCTGGCGAACAACGAGGCGAGTCGATCGCAAGACGACAAATTTGTCCATGTAAATTACGGGGACTTCGACGTTCACGGGTCGTGGAATTCTTACGACGTTGCACGGACCGGACCGAAATCGAGCGGAAATTGCATTTCGATCCGTCGCATAAAATACTTCACCGCTCGCGGGCGACGTTTAACGAAAGAAAGAAGCTGTCGAAACTCTGCTGTCCGAAGGGTCGTTGAGAAATATCGCTGGCATGCTGGAAACAGAGTGGGACGAAATTCTCATTAAGACAGGAATTTCAGATAACGAGTGAAAGATAAGCTACTGTTTAGAACTTTAAAATGTAATATATGCTTGAGCACGACATATAGCGTAAAGAAAGTATGAAAGGAATATAGAAGGTACACGAATACTACTTTTAAATAATTCCTCATTCACGTGAATAAATCGCTAAGAAGAAATTGTACCTTTTTAAATACATCAAAGAATCCACCGGTGGTACTGTTTAGATTAAACTTGAATGAAAACTTCCACTGCTGGCTCGCTTAGTTTTGACCTCGACTGTATCTCCAGCGACTCCAAGTTTCGAGAGTTGTTCTTCCCCGTTGCGTTTCCGTTTCCCCGAATGTTCTTTTCGAAAACACTACGCTCGAAACGACTCCTCGCGGTTCTCGAGGCCGGGAATATGAAATAGACGACTCCCCTCGCTAGGTATATTTTTCATCCGCAGCGTAAACAATCCCGCGGTCTTTTCTCTCGAAAAGCGTTAGATCTTCCGTGACGAAACTTGTTTTCTCCGAGTTGGCAGCTGCTCGATTCGTTAAAGTCGGGCGACGGAGTTACGCTTCCCTCTTGAAAAACTTCTGGAAACGAAGTGCTCGTTGATACTAAGAGAAACGCGACGGTTGGATGAATTTTTGGTGCTATTTTCTTCGAATTTTCCCCATGGGATGGTAGAATCATTGACGTTAGGAAAGTTAAATGAATTTTGATCGATTACCTATATTGTTACAACAGTGATCGACTCCAAGGCTCAGAAATAACTTCGTCTTTGACATTTCTAAAAGACATTGTTTATTAAATTTAATAAAAAAATGTGGATGACTGTGCTACGTTAACGATACTAATTGAAAGGAAACGCGAGGATAAGAGCGCGTGACCTTTTGTTGCAGGCGAACGACCAGAGGCGATGCAGACCGGAACGGCGGGACCCATTTTATCCTCGAGCTGTCTTTTGGTGTCTCTGATCATTTTGTACATATCGTCGGTGTAAACGAACGTCGAACGACACGATCGAGCGTCGCTGCAACGCCGCTTAGACCGAGTTCGAGTTCGTCGGGGTACGTTCACGTTAAGTGCGCGCGCCACTGTTTGCCAGGATCGAGAGGATCGGGGGCGAATCGATAGCCCGATCTACGCTTTCCACTTGTACGTCGAGCGTGATCGTGCGCGAAGCATCGAGTATCGCCAACGAAAGTTAGCTGTTCGCGCAACTGACGCCCAGCTTCGATCCTTGGACGCGTCAGAAATGGGCGAAATTCTCGAATAACGAATAAAAGATAATCAATTTATCACTTGTCGTTTGTCCAACGAAAACTGCAATCCGAATTACGCGATAGGTTTGCGTTCCACGATGATCGAATAAAACCGTTCTCGCAGCTGTACGCAGTTTTCCATTGTCATCTGTTTTTTTCATCATTGCGATTGGAGTCTCTATAAAGGGATTATTTCGCGGAGTTACACGTCGCCTATATTCGATACAAAATTCTACGTTCTGGCCATCTCCGTCTGGAGATGGACACAATTTTCGACTAGATTAAAATGTCGAACGACGAATGAAAGGTAAACGTTCATCCGTTAAATAAAAATTAGAATTTTAACGACGGAACGAAGTATTTCTCGACGAGCAAATGAACATTTAGCTACTCAATCGAACTTTGCGAATCGCTAGCGGTTGATTTTATTCGAATAAAATTTTGCCCATCTCTGGCTCCATCGCGCCGATTCCGATTCGTCGACAATCTCTGGCGACACGGAAGGTCCGAAAGCTTCACTTGTTTCCAGCGAACTCGTCGCGAACGCGGGAGGTTCACATTCCGCGACAGTTGCTGGAGAATCGAGATTAACGAGCATGCATGTCGCGAAACTCCGACGAGAGTCGTATCTCGGTCGGAAGAGCGTTTAGTTATTAAGGGAACGTCGACGCTAATATCGGCCATGTGGCGGCCATTGGACCAGGGCTATTCTCGACGCCTCGTTTCGTTTGGTGAAGGGTTGACCATAATCTGGTTCGATAATCCGCATCAAGGGAAACCGATTTACAGGGTGCCGTAAAAGCGTGGAACGAGCGTCTCGCGGTGTGCGCTTTTACGACTGGTCGAATCCGAGATGCAGGTTGCGCGAGACAGCATTCGAGGTGGGAAATAAAACGTGACTCGACTACTCGATACAGTGGAACGCGAGCAAAACTTTTCCCCTCGACGAATCTCGAGATCCGTAACACAGTCGAGGCAGACGACCTGTAAGTCGAGCATCATCGTACTCGAATAGGTGATGACAGGGTGCGCGAACAGATCTGTACAAATATTGATTAGCTGGAGGTAGAGCGTGTTGAGAAAGTCTGAACACTTTGTGGTCGATTGTGGTCCCAAACTAGACTGCCTCGACAATGGTTTATCTTGAATTTAACATTTTGAGGTGAGTATCCGAGCTGCTCTGTTGAAAACTTTATACATTTTTTTATCAAATCAAGAAAATGGTATAGAAGCTCCTTTGCTTGTATTTTCCCCAATTCGTACAATTTGCCTTTCTCCAAAGGATCACAATTTTGTTGTATACATATTCTGTTCTTGGCGAGCTTCAATAAATATACTTAAACAAATAATGATTGCCCTAGATTATAATTTCGCGTGTCGAAGAAGACCAAAAGCATAGGTCGAAACGCGTATTGTTGCAAATAGCAATGCTTAAACCGACTGCCTGCGTTGATGAAGTATGCATAGTCCGAAATTCGGGCAGAAAATATTCATTCCACGCTAGAGATACGCGCGCGATGCGAATGTTAATATTGGAGGTGAACGCATTAAGCCTCCACGGTCGGGCGTGCATCATTGTCAGACGAAAAACGCGCGCAAATCCGTTCCAGCCGATTAACAGTTGGAATTGCAAACGTTACGCGATTGAAAACAATTACGGGATATTATTATTGCCGAACCGCTCGAAATAATCATCGGGTTTTGAGCACGCGGTATTCGTGGAACAGTCGCGCTCTAATTTCCAGACATCCGCTCGTTTGTCGAGAGCTTATCGATTCGCGGCACCGGATGATACTTCCACGAATTTTCCTAATTATTTTTAACACCGTTCACCGGGTGTCTCTGTTGACTTTAGACTCCTCGGTAATCAAATTCGTCGAGTGGAAATGATTTCTTTGATGTAAGGAATTTCCAAAAGATTCTGATAGCTAATAGAACAAATTAAAAGTGTATAAAGTTTACAAGGTCTGTTGTGATACAATGCATTCCGTTTTGTGTTCTCATTGTAACCAAAGCAAGAATATCAGAGGTCTTGGATGCACCGTTTTGTCGCGGGACTGATCTTTCTAGATGTCTGAGAGGGTCTAGGTTATGGCTGGGCTAGGTTTGAGCAAACAGCACTTGGCATAACCGAACGAGGACGGAACCCTGGGTGATCCGGTATTAGCGTCGACGGACAAACACGAAATCTGTACATAAACGTCTGTATTATAAATTGTGGGCCTGGTGATGGTAGTTACACGCCGACGACGCGAGCGTGAATGCGTGCGCGAACCCTCTCTCACCTGAAACCGGAGCCGATCGCGTTTACCGCGTGGAAATCGGGTATCGCAGTCGGAGTGGTTCCGAGGCGAGTCGCCTTTCGACGTCGAAGATGAAGCATCTTCGGGAGGGCTCGTCGAGATCAGTTGAGCGTAATATCAGAGAGCTTTGACAAGAATTTCTGCTTAAATTTCATTAGCACAGTAATAGCTACTGCTTTTCTAGGTACGTCGTCCTTCTTTTAATTGCTACTCATCCGACATAAGATAAATAGCTTAGAGGAAAAGTTTACTTTACAGATAAATAAACACACGAGAAACGGATGAGACTAACGTACAGGGTATATTTACAATTTGTAATTTGTATATTAAAATTTCAATTACGTTCGTTTTTGACCGAGAAACTTCGGGTCCTGTAAATTGTATCGATGCTCGTACCAAAAGCTTCGCTAAACGGAGTAGGTTGAAGATCGATAGCCCGGCCAGCTAATTGAAAATTAACGATCAGGTCTGGTATCCAGTTTCCGTATGATTAACGTTGAGTTGATAAACTCGGATCCAGGAAAATGAGAGATGATCACGCTCCGAAATTCGTGTTATGGAACTTGGCCATCACTGTTGTGCCCCTCCCGATCGGTGGTCCGCGAATCGAGTGCCGCAAAACTTTTAGACGACAATTTCCCCCTCTGAGCCCTGAAGGACTTTTTACTACTTTGTACATGTTTCCTTCCTTTCAAAGGCTTCCCGTCGACTCCGTGCGCGCGTGACTCCGTGAAAGGGCTAACGTCGAAAAGGGACAAAGCGTAATCGTAAACCACCGCGGACGGCTTGACTGACCACCGATGCCTGGAACCACTCTGGCGGCGACTCGCCAACACGACAGTTTTCACTCTCTAATTGTGTGTGTTTCGATGTGATATCCTCGCAGATAAGGGCCAACTCGGACTGTCGACTTTCCGTCGCGCGAAAATTTTTGATGGAAAGGACTCTCTTATAGCAGTAATTTTAAGAGTAACAAAGGCGAGTTTAAATAGACCTAATAGAAAATTTGATAATATTTGATTAAAATGAACTTTAGTTGCATTAATAGAAAATTAGTCCTTTACTCTGAGTTCACCGTAGAAAATAATGAGGTGGCAGCTTTAAGTTTTGAAGAAACGTAACTGCTAGAGATTTTAGTAGCAAGCTTTCCCTCTTTTCCAAAGGCATCATTCAGGTTCCAAGAGACTGTCTTTCACAACTAAAAGTATAACTATTCGGTTAGATAAACGACAGGAATAATTGCTACCGTTTTCGAGTAACCTTTCTCGCGTGAAAAAAATCGACAGCACGAGCGAGCCCTAACCCGCCGCGAAAGTAATGCGCGGTTCGTTCCCGCGCGAAACACGAATCGAATTCCTTTGTCAGTTTTGTGTTCCTACCACGATGGCGGTTGTTTCTCCGACTTGGATCGCGTCGAGTCGAAAGAAGAGGTGTACGCGATGGAACAACGGACGTCATCCAGTCGTCTTGAAAACTGAAAGTCACTGTGTCACGCCAATTAATTTTATTTTCAGCGACATCCCCCGAGGCACATTTACGAAGACAACATGATAGTCGCGACATTTCGTCGACGGTATTGTACTGCCCAGTAAGAGAATAAATCGCATCTTTCCCCAATACAGGGAACGTTATTTACGTTAATAAAAAAGAACTCAAGACAGAAACAGGTATTCATTTCTGTAGAATTTTTCATGTAATTAATTAATTAATTAATTACGGACGATGATGTTCCCGAAACTAATCGAGATCAATTATTCAGCTGGTCTTTGATTCGACTAAAAATTTATTTTAATTTAAAGTGCCGCGTAAACGTGTTACACGAGCGCGCGTTTGAAGTGTCTGAGTGAACGGAACGCGGAAGGAAAGAAAAGCCTAGTTCCAAGGTTTGACGGAAAGTGGCGGCGTACTCGGAAGTTTTTTCGAGGGTGAAATAGAATCGGAGTCGATACACGTGCGGTCGACGAAACGTGGCCCTCGCTCGCGTAAATTGGAGAGAATGATCGCGTGAACCGCCGGGGGAGAAAAACTTTCGGGGATTTCTCCCCTCTCGACCTTAAAAAGCGTGTAAGGGACAAAGCACACGTTCACTTCTTTGCTCACCGTGCCATTTTCGATTCAATCCACTTTCAGGCAACTTTCTTTGATACTACAACGTTAACTGTGTATTTTTCTTTCATGCATTACTTTTTCAAATAGAGACACTGCTTGCAATTACGTCTAGAAAATCGTATTATTCGTTCCCTGCCAGGAACGCGTTTCGTTCACCCAAATGCAAATACTCTTTCCCGTGAAAGTAATAACGATTATACAAAATCATTATTAACAGTGTTCTACCGAAAAGAAACGTCTTTGTTGCGCGCTCTAGAAAAAGAACCTGTTAACGGGGCTCTAACGCGGACATATCGCTTTTCCAGTAGTTTTTCCAAGGCTTTGACTGAAATTTACGCGAAACGAAGCTACATCTCAGCAGCGTGACGCCTCTTTACGTCGTAAAATGTAACCTCTCGGTTGCAATTGAGTTCTCCGTCATTGTAGCCGATTTCTTACACGCGAAGCGTTTTAAAAATAACGTGGGTTCAGCGTTGCGTGGTGTATCATGCAAAGAGGCATAAGTACTTATTCTCGGGTACGGTTTGTACTCGTTGCGCGTACAATTAAAACGAAAAATTCAATTATCTAGTACATTGCGGGTTGAATAAAAATTGGATCCATCTCTGGGGCAGTTTCACCGAATTTTCAGAAAAGGAGAAGCGCTCGGCTAGTCAATTTCGCATTCGCGCCACGGCGAGGAGTAATTGGTAATCGCGCAATGAAAATGAAGACCCTCGAAAGACGAGTCTAGGGTTTGTCTTTTGTAAGGAAACAGGAGATACTTGAAAGCGAGGTGCTTTCAGCGCGAGGCCGCGAGTTTTTCGAGAGCGGAATATAGCGCTTTGCAGGGTTTATGAATCGCGAAACGAAGTAAACGCTGCACGTCGACGGGAAGCTAGACGGACAAAGAGCGTCGAGGGGTAGAGAACACAGGAAGAACGTAGAACGCATCGAAACAAACTCTCTGGATTCTCGTCGGCTCGTTCCGGCTGACCGGGCTCGTCGCAAATTGAATTCAACCCGCGAATAAAATTCGATTCGGGAGTCGTTGTCCTCCTGCGCTTCGGCTCCGATTCCGCTCCCCTGACCGTGCACGAATCGCTTTGGCCTCTCGTTGGCCACTTTGTTCCGCTGCACGGCCTATTTTCATTCCCGCGAAAGGAAAAGTGATATCGCGGGTGACACGCACCGGCTGCAAAAAGAGTGAAAAAAAAAACTGGTCTTTTAGTCAAATCGAGCATTCTATTCAGAACGTTTTCGATTCTTCGTTTTTTTTTTTACGAGCAATACTCTGTGCATTTAAAAAGATTTAAAAGAACGAAAACTATTCTGATAACGAAACTTTTCGATTAAAAATAACCAAAGGGATTTCGAAGATAGATGTAAATATTTAAAAAAATTTTAAAGAATTTTTTTGAAGAAGTACGAGTATGTCTGTGGTAAAAAAAATGGACACCGTCTCACCCTATCGCCTCTCTTTCGACTCGACTCGTGACCAACAGCGCGACGTTCCTCTGTCGCAGAATGAGAACACGAAGGCGTCGCGACGCGGACACACTCGGCAGCCTGTAGCTCTCAATCGACGGCGCTGAAGCGAAAGCGGACGAATCAAGGCGAGAGAGAAGGATACACGAACAGAATCTGTAATCGCAGTGATATCGTTAGACTAGATAGGTATATTATTGTACATACTATAACATTACGATGTTTACTAAATAAATACGTTGAAAGGAGTACACACGGTCCTCTGCGTGTATTACGATACACATTCAGCCGTGAAAATCATCAGATGGAACGCGTACAAACGGTACCATTTGTTATTTGTCTGCCACTGAAGACAGCGTCATACAAAATCAGATATTCAAGGTAGAATTTTCTAAAGAGGAGTCGGAACTTAATAAAGCAGAGTAACCTACATTCAACGTCAAAGATCTGCATCTACAAGAGAGGTCTTCTCCCTTTTTTGAAATAAGTAAAAATGGTCAAAAAATTCTATACATTCAACTAATCATCTACAAATAAATCGTGATTCAAGCATGAAAAATTAAGAAAAATTTAGAACGAAGCATCGTTAAATTACTTTAAAACCTCTGCAGATGGAAGACAAACAACAAGTAAAGACCCTCTTCGCGTTCCTTTGTCGCGATTCCTGTCTTTGACCGCGACGCCTGGAAGACCCTTTATTCCTTGCCAAGTCTGCAACCTTTTCCACGCGGACACGGCCTTTTGCTCGCTGATAAGTAACTAACGAGCATCAAAGGGCCACGGTGTGACACCAGTGACACCTTTCCGCTCCACATTATTGCCACGTCGATGCATCCTCGTCGCCAACGAAGCATAATCGGAACGGTAACGCCAAACATCGAGAGAGAGCTGGATAAACTTCGTCCTCGCGGTTTTCCTCGTCCGTGACACCTCGTGTTCTACGATTACTTAATCCACCCACGCCGAGGAAACGCGACTCTCGAGCGGGGAAATCCTCGTGCTTCGAGGCTGGTTTGCACGCGGAAGCCGTGAGAGCCCGCGGTGAACTTCATCGATCGCCTCGTTAATGGAAACTTTACAACCGGAGTAACGACTAGAAAAAAAAACTTGAACCTTCATTAGCTCGTACAGCGCCAGTTACGTGACTG